AAAAAAAAAAGGTAGATTTGGGGGTGATGAGGCAAATATTGGGGGGTGGGGACATTTCTGAGGTAAAAAATTCTGATTTGGGGGTCTGGGGGAGATTTTGAAGTGGAAGAGGTGAATTTTGGGGTGGAAAGGGCAGGTTCTGGGGTGGAAAAAGCAGATTTTGGGGTGGAAAAGGTAGATTTTGGGCGGTGGGAGGAAATCCTGAGGGGAAAATGTGTGGATTTGGGGGAACAAAAGGTCCCCTGGCAATGCCACCCCAGCCTGGTGACAGGACGGGGCACAAAGGGCCATTTCTGTCCCAAAGGGCCATTTCTGTCCCAAAGGGCCATTTCTGTCCCGGTGGGAACAAAGGGCTTTTGTGTCCCTGGGACACAAACAAATCCAGCTGGAACAGCCCCCAGGACAGCCCTGGGCCTCATTCCCAGAGGGAAGCTGAGCTCTGGGATGATAAAGTGGGATAAAGGGTGAGGGCTCTGCTCCTGCTCCTCTGGATATTCCGGATGGAGCAGCTCCTGTCCCACAGCCCTGCCCCACTTTGGGCTGGGGGGAGGAGTGGCCCAGCATTCCAGAATCCAGATGAATTCCCCACATTCCAGGCTCCAGGGAATGTCTTCCCAAAGGGAAAAAGCCATTAATGGATTCATGCAGGGACAGGGGTTGGATCCAAGCCCACCACAGGGGAGCCAAGGTGTTCCCTTCAGACTCCTCTGGGAGAGGAGAATTCCCAAGAGGAGGGTTCTGGGTTAGGCCTGTTTTTCCAGACCTGGCTTCCCTTCCTGAATCCAGCTGGGAATGGCAAGAGAGGGGAAAATTAACAGGATGGGCATTTTCCTGTCTGGAAAAGGTAGAAGTGGTTTTTGGTGGAAAAGGAAAGGGGGAAAATGGCAAAAAGGGAAAAAGGGAAAAACAAGGGGGGTGGAAGGAGAAGAAGGAAAAGGGGAAAGAAAAGGGGGGAGAAAGGAGGGGGGAAAGGCGGTTTGGAATTTAAACTTGCAATTTCTCCTGGAACTGGGATTTAAAATTGCAATTTATTCAGGAATTGGAATTTAAAATTGTAATTTGCCTTGGAACTGGAAACTGGAATTTCTCCTGGAATTGGAATTTAGAATTGCAATTTATCCTGAAATTGCAATTTAAAATTGTCGTTTCTCCTGGAATTGGGATTTGAAATTGCAATTTAATCAGGAATTGGAATTTAAAATTGGAATTTCTCCTGGAATTTAATTCCCAGGCCTCTCCCCTTCCCAGGCAGAGCTGGTTTTCCACACAACCACGATTGTACAGGAAAATACTCTCATAATCTCAGTTTATTCCCTTATCAGACTGATCCTTGATTCCCAGACTCTTTTTGGAGGACAGGGATAGAGATTCTCACTGGAGAATGAGAAACTAAGGGAAGAAAATTGGGATAAGCAGGAATTGTTTGGTCAAAAATGGGGTTAAACCCATAAAATCCGATGGTACCTGCAGGATTTTAGAGGTTTGGAGGATTTTTATCCATAATAAAATCCTCTATCCATGTTCCTGCTTGGTGGGCTCTGTTTTATGACTTTTTAGGGATTTTTCCAAGCTTTTCTGGAAGGAAACCCGAGGTTATAGGAAGGAGTCAGAGCTCCTGGAACATTTGTGGATAAAAACCACCGGAAAAGGGAGTGGGGGGAATGCACCAAAGAGGTCCAAAAAGCCCTAATTTTTTAAAGAGAACTGTGGGATTCCACCTGGAATTCCCCATGGATTCACCACGAGAGGGAGACTCTGCCCCAGCAGAGCCCCCTGACCCCGCTCCCGTCCTGCTCCACCCCCAATCCCTGCTCCAAACCCCCTCTTCCCACCTTCCCCCCCCTCTCCCAGGGCCCCAAAGGGAATAACAAAATCATTTATTTCATTCCCTCCTCGGTTCTGTCCACAAAGAGTAAAAAACACCTCCGGATCTGGCGGGATAAAGGAGGGGAAATCCCAGGAACTGGGTGCACCGGGAGAGTTCCTTCGATCGGGAGTGGGAAATTGGAGCTTCTGGGGGGGGTTTCCTTGTTTTTCAGATATCCTTGATAACCTCTTCCAGCTCCTCCTTGGTGTACATGTGGAATTTCATCCCGGGCTCCACCGTGGCCAGCTGGAAAACAAGGAACAAGGGGTTAAGGGGCTGAGGAAAGCAGGGAGCAGCTGTTCCCCGAGCTGCCAGCCCTCATTCCCTAAAATAGCTGCTGGCTGCACAAATAGCTTTGGATTGACTCAGGCTCCTCCGGGAGCAGGGAATTGCAG